TGGTGTGGTAGTTAAGGTGCTGGACACTCCCACATGGCTGACCACGGTTCGAGTCCTGGACCTGGTGAAATTCTTTCTCACTTTCCCTCTCTCTCTCTCTGTGTGTCTCTCTAGTCAAGTTAAAATAAATAAATAAATACATAAACAAATAAAAATTTTTTAAAAAGTAATAAGAAAAATGTTTTTTAAATGTTTGACCAGGGCCCGCTGTGTCAACTACACAGAGTCTGTTCCTTACTTTGTGTTTCCATGGCAACTTATAAAATGAATAAGTTCTAGTATACAAGCTCCAATTAACACAGTACAGTGCAAAGTGAGAATTTTTTAATTTTTTTCCATATGGACGAATAGCTATTTTAGAGATAATGAGGTAAATCTGAATAAGGATGATGATATGGAACTATTATTAATGTTCACAGATGAAATTATGGTTTTTTGATAATGTAGGAAAATATTCTTAGAGAATTTGAGTTGCAATATTTAGGAACGATGTCATGTTTCAACTTACTTACAAATGATTTATCAAAAAGAATATATATAAAACAAATGTAGTAAAAAATAATGGCTGTTGAAGTGAGTGGTTGGCAGTATGTATCACATTATTTGTTTAATTTTTCTGTATGTTTGAAAATTTGGAAGAAGTAGCTGTGAAAAAATATTTATTTATTGAGGGGTAGAGGAAAATGAGGAAACAGATTTCTAATAAAGTGAATGGGGGGGGTTTTCTGCACAGAAAGCACAGTATACTGAAAGGATTAATGTACCATACGGGATCTATTATGGCTCAATTTTAAACTTTGCAAAACCAAATATAGTTTTCCTCGTTTTCTACCTTATCAGAAGTGATCAAAGATCGTGGTTCAAAGCTTGATGCGCCAGAAATGTGTGCTAATGCTGCAGCCAATGCATCCACTGCCCCTTTCTCTTCTATCAGTCTCTGAGCTGATGGTCGGAAAAAATCAACAGCAGCATAAGAAACAGAAGCCAGAGACCTGTGGTTTAAAAAATAATAAATTTTCTTCGTCAAGACATAGGGAATAAAAAGCAAAATAAGAGAATGAATGGGAAAAGAAAGAACAACGTTTTCATATTTTAATATAACTAAATGTCTCCTGGTAAAAATGGTGATTAAAGTTTTCTGATATTTGAACTAAGAGAGCTTAAAGATGAATAGCCTAATACAAAAGAAAAAATTATTCAGCAAGGTCAGAAAGCATACCTGATGGCATCCATGCTTTTAGATTTAACTAAATCCATTGTAGAAGGAACACCTACACGTTTAAAAGTAATTCCCTGAAAATGAAAGAATTACATTAAAGAAAAATGGAAGTCTTTATAATTAATTCCTAAATTAATATTATTTGTTGAATTTCCATTTCGTGGACTTGAAGATTTCCAAGTCCTAGCAGGTTAAGATACGGCTTTTCTAATAAAATCAATGATAAATTCCAGAAAGAGAAAAAAAAAGTTTTTGAGTTGACCCTTAGTTATAATTATGGAAATTTACTTACAAAATAATGTTGATTCAAAAAAGAAAAAGATGTTGTTTAAATCTATCAACTTTTTAATTTACTATTCTACCTCATTTTACAAAGCATATGTAATAGCACATAAAAACATACATTAGAAAAACAGGAAAAAATTTAAACACTACAAAAATACAGATCACAGAAAATATGTCAATCCTTACAAACACTGGCTATTACTCAATATAATCTTAACTATTAGACCAACACATTGCCACAGTCACCCATTTTACAATGCTGGACTAAGAGGCATTGAAATCATAACGTATTTCTGATTTTAGGATCAAGAGAGAAATTAAGGGAACGCGAGAACTTCAACTCCACTGTCTTCACAATAAAAACTGTACTAAAACAAAGCCTTTACAGCTAATATAAATTTAGCTCTCCACATGCTCCACATCCAAAAGCAGCTTAAACTGAAAAAAGTGATAAAATCTATTTGTGAGAACAAATATAAAAAGAGCTCTCTTCTAAGGCACCACATAGATAATAAACTTGAAATAATTTAACTCTACTTACTGCTTTTTGTTCCACATATCTTAGTTGACCTCTTTCTCTTGGTTGATAAAAACACACACAAATCCCTGTCCGACCAGCTCTACCTGTGCGTCCAGAGCGATGAATATAGGACTCAACATCCTATTTACAAAAGAGATGAAACTTCAGAAAAATCTGGCAAGTTCTACAGTGACTCCATAGTTCCAAATAAAACAATGCTAATAATAATATAACTTGTTTCAACCTTGCTGCTCTTTTCTTTTTTCAATTATTTTATTTAACTTTATTCATTTATTTTAATTTGACCAGATTGAGACAGACTGAGAAAAAGAGAGAGGGAATATAAGAAAGCAAGCTGCCGGGTCTGCGACTCGAATCATGGTAGGCCATGTGGGAATTCAGCAACCTTAACCACCACACCACCTGCCGGCTCCCTTGCTGCTCTTTTCAATGTCCTACAAAATTTATAAGATTGGTGCCAGTCCCCAACATGGCAGCCACGTGGCCCTCCAGGCCGGCTTCTCGGGAGGCCATGGCTGCCCACCTCCTTGGTGTCCTGTGGTTTATGTAGTCACCATGAGACCTTCAGAGGCTGCCGTTACTGTCACCACTGGGGCCAAGGAGATACTTACGTGCAAGGACCTCAAAGTGGGACAATATATTTGTAAACATCCAAAAATAAATGGTGCTATGCAAGAACAAGTTAACTGTATAAACTACACAGCTCATGTCCATGTTTCCTAGCACCCAACATAACCTGTAAGGATTCCAGTGGCAATGAAACACATTTTAGTGGAAATGAAGCTGGTTTTATCAAACCTTTATCTTTTTTTTAATTCATTCATTTCTTTCTTTCTTTTTGTTATAGGGTGCATGCGCTCGCCAGACAGAGAGAGACAGAGAGATAGAAAGCGAGAAATCACCCCCAGGGGGGATGGCCATGCCGCAATCCCTTCTCCTCCATTCTCCTCTTGGGATCTTGGGCAGGCACGCACGCACACGCGCCCGGCATGAGTTTTAACCCACCGGGTCCAGGACATGAACTGCGGTCGACTACATGGGAGTCCAGCGACATAGCCATTACGCTAACTGCTAGTCCCAATTCATTCATTTATTTTAATTTGACCAAAGAGAGAGAAAAAGTGCGCACACAAGCCACCAAGTCCAGGACTAGAACCATGGTCAACCATGGGAAATGTCCAGCACCTTAACCACCACACTACCTGCTGGCCCTCAAATCCATATCTTGCCAAAAGTGGAAACAGCTATTCATACAAAGTGGCAGGTGCATTGTCTCTTTCTCTTGGATGGCTGGGAGCAGATGAGTTTTTACCTTGGATACCCTGCCTTGGGTTTGTTAAAGTTTTGCACAGTAGGGTTTTTGTGGAATTGGGAGCCTAATTGACTTCACTCTTATTTCAATACAGATTGTTGCACCTTCAGATGGAAGTAGTTACATTATAGATTATTATGGAACCAGACTTCTAAAATATTACCTCTTTTATAAGTAGTTACATTATAGATTATTATGGAACCAGTCTTACCAAATACATATATGGTAAGTATATATCACTAATGAAACATTTAGAAAAACACAGTTATATCTGTAAATATTTTTTAAAAGAAACAGATTTGAGCGTCATGATTGCCACAGAGAACTCTCAGTATATAGATTTTCAGATTTTCCTTTTCCTTCTTCAAATACCACTTTTATGAGTTCTATAAAATTTTTTGATGTTGGGACCAGCAGTTAGCTCTGACTATGTCGCTGAACTCCCACATGTCGAACATGGTTCAAGTCCCGGACCTGGGGACTCAGACTGGGGGCATGTGCATGCGTGCCCAAGATCCCGAGAGGAGAGTGGAGAAGGGAATGTGGCATGGCCATCCCCCCCGGGGGGTGATTTCTCGCTTTCTGTCTCTCTGTCTCTCTCTGTCTATCTGGCAAGTGCACGCACCCTATAGCAAAAAACTCTCAAAAAAAATTTTTTTTTCATTTTGTTGTTTTGTTAATTCAGTTAAAATCACTCAGTACTTTATCGTGAGATTTATTTAATAGGACTTTCTTTAAAAACTGCATAATAATCTTTCTGAGGCTACTATCTGTATGAGATAGATAGCTTATTACTCTGATATCCTATAATGTCTTTCACAAAGACAAGTTACCACTTGTTATTTTTGCTTCTGGGAAAAAAAAGTGTAACTTATTTACTAAAAAACAATTTTATAAGCTTGAATTTGGGTATAAAAGTGGTAAGGATCTGGCAAGTGGCATGGTGGTTAAGGGTGCTGGACTCCCACATGGCCGACCACAGTTTGAGTCCCAGACTTGGTGGCTTGCTTTCTCACTTTCCCTCTCTGTCTGTCTGTCTCTCTCTCTTTCACTCTATCCTTCTCTGACCAAATTAAAATAAATAAATAAATAAATAAATAAATAAATAAATAAATAAATAAAGTGAAATAAAATATTTTTTTAAAAAT